GGAAGGATAAGTGAATAATAGAGATTGTGGAAAGTGTATCATTTTGAGCATTTTGAGGGAGATTTATGCGATGCCTTATTGCTAATCAATAAAATGAGAGGCACATTCCTTTGGTAAGTGTGGTGACCATTGGGAGCGGTTTGCACCAAGAGCACTGAGGTGGTGGATTGAATGAATGCACAGGATTTATGAAATATTATGAAGATATCACACATTTATATGTGTGTGCACTTATGAACTTTATTTTAATTGCACGTGGACTTCACCTTAGTTTGCACAATTTTGTAATGTTTGATATATGTACAGTATTTGAGTTGCACTATCAGAGAGTATTTTAGCACAATTATTGTTTTTTATGTGTATTCATTTATGATTTAAGGTGGCTGCCGTTCACATAAGAGTAGTATAGGTGTGGGTATTTAATTACATTTTTTATTTATTTTTTTTTTTGTATGAAATTTTTATACTCTCTTGATTGTTGCGTTGTTCAGTTAAGGAAATCCAACACGTTTTGAAAATCTATTCCTGAGCTTCACACCCAGCTCCTTCATTCATAAAAGCTTGTATTACAGCTTCTATGAATGAAATGTGATCTATGAATGGATGGGCCGACCTTTTGTTCATACATCAGGTTTCATTTATAGAAGCTGTAGTACCAGGGAGAATCATCAATGGCCAAAATGGAAAGACGTAAGAAATGGGTTCCAACTCTAAGGCTAGTAGTTAAATCAAAAGCTGGAAGAAGAATTGACGGATCTCTGACATGAAGATGGATGACGAGAGTGGGAGTGTTTACAGAGGGAGAAGATGAATGGTTCAGTAGCTCCCCCGCAGGCATACAATAACTGGGAAAATATCCCTTCTCTTCACAACACGTGCAGAGGCCCTGAGTCCAACGTGACTTCTGTCCTTCAGAGAAAAACATGCTCAGTCTATTTGCATAGACTCAAAGGATGAAGTTTCAGAATATGGAACGTCTGACTCTTTAGATGAGGATAGTCAAGGAACAGGTTATACACATCACAGGCGGTTACCTTCCTGAGAGCTTTCATGGAAACAGATATTGATCTGGATGGTGAAAGAAATCAAGTCATCCAAGGAAGAGGGTAGATATCTGATTCATCCTTACCCCTTGCCATGCCAAATGTTGTCCATGTTGTATTGCATACTGACACACAGTCATGAATGTTGGACATAAGAAAGAACAAGCAGCAGAAGAAACATGTCCAGACTCATTGAATGTTTGGCCAATGCAGCTCAGAACTCCAGAAAGTAATAAACCATGGGATTGTTTTAGGGTTGCACCGATACCGGTATCCATACTAAGCATTTGCAGGGATATCAGTACTCGTGCAAATGCTGAGACCTGAAACAAATACCTTCAGGTTTGGTTCTTTCAGCTGATTACAAAAACTCACTGATCACTGTAGGAAGGAATGTAAGTCCTCTGGAGCGCAAGTGGTTAAATAATGACAGTTATCGCTGAATAAACAGGTCCATAGCAGAAATGTAAAAATTGCTTTGGTCCTTAAGGGGTGAACAGGTGTGAGAGCCATAGTGGTTATGGAGCGGGGCTGGCATGTCCTTGAAGTGGAGTTCCAGTTGATTTAAAAAAAAAAGAAGAAAACTGTACCTGCTGTCCCACGATCCAGCGGTGTCCTCACCACAGCTGGTTTTATCGGCCATCTTCTCTCCCCGGGGCTGGAATCTTCAGTGTGGGCACCTGTCTGTGACAGCTTGCGGCTTCACATCCGGGTGCCCACTGCACATGCACATGTAGAGCTACACTTTGTGAATGGTCCCGTAGTCTTTGGGGACCTGTCACGTGTCCCAGAAGACTATGGGGAGGGAGGCGGGGAGGCCAACTTGTGCTTCCGATCGCCTCAGGCATTCTCATCAGAAGTGGGAGCAGGTACCTGTCAAAGTCATGTATCCCCTCTCTCCCAGAATGTGCCAATCCTTACTGGGGAGAGGGGGACAAAGGCTCAAAGCGAAACTTCCCCTTTTGGGTGGAACTCTACTTTAATAACCGATCAATCATTCAGCTGATGGCGGGTTCCCCTACTGACAGCTGAAGTGTTAACAAAACAGATGCTGGCAGGTATCAGTAATTTGTATCGGCGAATACCAGAAAGAAAGTATCAGTACTCGTACTCGCTGTAAAACAAATTGGTATTGGTGCATCCCTAGGTTTTTTCTTTTTCAGAAAGGAGAGACTCATGAAATAACATCAGTGGCTAGCAAAGGGATCATGTAAGCTACTTTGACATGACAAGTGGGAAAATCCTGGGGCTGTATATTAAAATGAATTTCACATTGAATACAGAAGTCCCTGCAGGCCTTAGGGTCCCCAGATGAAGGGGTGGAAGAGGCCGACTTAAAGAGGAGGGATTTGGTTGGAGTGGCGCATGCATGGGTGGTGAGGACAAGTGTTTGCATAGAAGCTTTATCTAGTGGCTCAGGTTAACAGAAGCAAAAAGGGTTGAACTGGTAGTCTATACTGGCAGCAAGGTCAGTCACAGTACCATACTGGTAACAGACTGGTAGCAGGACTCTTGCTGGACTTTACTGGTAACAGACTGGCAGGAGGACTCCAGTAGAACAGTACTGGTAGTGGACTTGTAGCAGGCCTGTTGCTGGACTTTACTAGTAACAGACTGGCAGGAGGACTGCAGTAGAACAGTACTGATAGTGGACTTGTAGCAGGCCTATTGCTGGACTTTACTGGTAACAGACTGGCAAGAGGACTGCAGTAGAACAGTACTGGTAGTGGACTTGTAGCAGGCCTGTTGCTGGACTTTACTGGTAACAGACTGGCAGGAGGACTGCAGTAGAACAGTACTGGTAGTGGACTTGTAGCAGGCCTGTTGCTGGACTTTACTGGTAACAGACTGGCAGGAGGACTGCAGTAGAACAGTACTGGTAGTGGACTTGTAGTAGCAGGCCTGTTGCTGGACTTTACAACTATCAGGACTATAAAAGTGAAGACTTGTGAGCTGCTATATAAGTGATGAATAGTCCTGAGTGCTGATTGTGAATCGCCTGCACCTAACACATACTCATACTAGTGTGTCAAACCAATACTAAATATCAAAAACGTTCTGCACTTCACTGAAAGTTTCTAAATTCAAATAATAAATGCATCCAAGTGCTTCTACTGATAATAAGTGCCAAAATTGTATATTAAATAAATAAATCAACCAATATCAGTAGCCAAAATCAATGTCCACATACATGTCAAAAAACCAAGGTTAAAATCCTTGCAATGTACGTAGATCACCCTCAGGAGAAGGTTTTTTCCCTCAACAAAAGTGGATTTACACTTTAACCTACAGGGCCCAGGAGTCAGAGAATAACCGCTTCCATCTAAGGTTTCACTTTGAGGTCCTAAACCTCAGGTCCCAATCCCGACATTCCTGAAGACCAGGGATAAAACACTATAAATTTGATTATACCTCTATATAAACCACCGCAGAAGGACAGCCTATCGATCGAGTGAAGGGGGATCCCAAACAGCAGGATACCATCCCATCCACATTTTGGCCCATTTAAAGGGACACAAGCGCTATATGACCTCACTTAACGGTTTGGTCATATCTTTGAGGTGAGAGCACAACCGGTCGGGGAGCACACAAATGTAAGTTATTTTCACACAAGAGATCAATTAAGAAGCACTGGATATTTATTTCATTCTAAGTAAACTACGTATTTCTGAAGAAGTATATGTGGACTTTTTTGAAATGTATAGTATATGGACATTGCTTTTGGTTACTGATATTGGTTGATTTATTTATATAATATACTATTTTGGCACTTATTATCAATAGAAGCACTTGGATGCATTTATTATTTGAATTTAGAAATTTTGAGTGAAGCGCAGCACATTTTTGATATTTAGGACTATCAGGACTCTCCTGGTAGCAGGACTGTATGCTGATAAAGCATCCTTGGACTCCCTGGTGATAGTGGACTCCTGCATTAGGGTGACACTATACTCAGAGGTTGAAGTTTCTTCATGCCTAGACTGTGGAGATTTCTGGACAGTTGGAGGCATTTTTGATATTGTGTGGAGGTCCAGTGATTTTGGAGACCCTCTTATCTATGTGGGTACACCTCATGTGGACTCGTTGCAGTCCCAGTGATCGAACTCTGTTCGTCTTCATCAAGTTTTTTATTTACTCTTATGACCTGAAAAAATTGCAATCCATTTTGCGTTGTCTTTTAGAAATTTCTCCACCTGCCAAGGGGATCACTACGGCGTCCTTTATGTTCCAATGCCACTGGGGAAGTTCTATGGAGAACTGGCTTTTTATTGACATGTAAGCCCCATATAAAAGAAAAAATTCCAGTATATATGTCTTCATTTGTCAATGCTATAACTTTCACATAAACCAATGAATTTACAAGTATTGGAATTTTTTTTTAGCAAAGATATGTGGCAGAATACATTTTGGCCCAAATGTATGACGAAATTTATATTTTTTACATTTTTTTACTGAACATATTTAACCACTTCATGTCCGGACACTTTCACCCCCTTCCTGTCCAGGCCAATTTTCAGCTTTCAGCGCTATCACACTTTGAATGACAATTGCGTGGTCATGCAACACTGTACCCATATTAAATTTTTAGCATTTTTTTTAGATAGATAAAACTTTATTTTGGTGGTATTTATTCACCACTGGGATTTTTTTTTTTTTGCTATATAAATGAAAAAGTCCAAAAATTAAAAAAAAGTGTTTTTCTTATAAAATTTTGCATATAAATAATCTTTCTTCATAAATCTTGGCCAAAATGTATTCAGTTATCTTTTTAGTAAAAAAAAAAATAACCTAAATTAGTTTATAACCAAAAATTATAATTTTTCAAAAAAAAAATTTACATTTTTTTTTTATATTATTATTTATGTTTTGCTTTTTTTTTTAACATACTGTCACTCTAGCAGTACAATGTCACAGAAGTGACACTGTACTACTTGTGGGGGGTGATTAAGATTTTTTTTTTTATACACTGATTGATTTTACACCCATAAAGGCTGTAAAAGCAATAATTTCTCTGTCTCTCTGTCTGCATTCTTGCAGCCATTGAGAAATACTGTGAGAGCTGTGATTGGTCACAGCTTGTCACATGGTACAAAGCTGTTGTGATAGCCTTGTATCATGTGATCTCTGTGATAATTCACACTTTTCAAGCGTAGTAAGCAATTATGTCAGAAGTGACATCTTGCTTACTCCTATTCATGTGATCACTGATTGGCCAATCAGTGATCACATGATCGGGACCTCACACAGAGGTCCCGTACAGCAATTGGTGTTCCCACCGGATCACAATGCCGAGTGCTCCCAGGGAGCAAGGACAGTCCAAATTGGCGGGCGCCATTTATGAACGGCAACCCGCCCCTGCACTGCCCACCATCCAGCCGTTTATATACATGGGCCAGACGGGAAGTGGTTAATAGCAAAAATTTAAAAAAAAATATTTTTTTTTTACTCAAAATTGTCAGTCTTTTTTTTCTTATAGCGCAAAACATAAAAAAAAACAGAGGCCATCAAATACCACCAAAAGAAAGCTCTATTTGTGGGGAAAAAAGAACATAAATTAATTTGGGTGCAGCGTTGTATGACCGCGCAATTGTCGTCAGTTAAAATAACGCAGTACCGTGTCACAAAAAATGGCCTGGTCAGGAAGGGGGGTAAATCCTCTGGAAGGCAAGTGGATAATCTACTAACCATAACATAAAGGTTACCGATCTTAGGAGGCACCAAATGACCAACATTAGGTTTGTGTCTGTGTTGCTACTTAACTATCCCTAGCCCTGCTACAGCAGCTTGGGGGTCAAACCCACCACAACACAGATAGGTCCTTGCTACCAGCTTTCAGATTACACACCATTAACTGAGATCCAACAGAGGACGCCATACTTTAGATGGGTATCATCTATGAGCTGTAACCAAACGTTTTAACCCCTCCGAAGACCCCAATCTGCAAAGGCCCTATGATCAGCAGTAAAACAGATCCAATGCAGGGCAGAAGGGTGGGAAGAATCCTTCAAGTCTGTTGGCTCCAACTGCTTTGACGCTTTCCAGATTCCACCCCGTATACCCCCGTTTTGGTCCCACTCACTCACTAACGCAAACATTACTCCCTCTCCAGAAAAAAGATGAAAAGTTCAATGAGATTGCAACAGTTGACTTTGTCTAAATAATTCAATGATTTTCAGAATCCCCATTTTGTAGTGGAAAAGGACAGAACAAATATTCTGGGGGAGATTTACTAAAACCGGGGCGCTCAGAATCTGGCGCAGCTGTGCATGGTAGCCAATCAATTTCTAACGTCAGCTTGTTTATTTAAACTTTGGCAATAAAACCTGAAAGCTGATTATTTTCTATGCAGAATTGGACCAGATTTTGCACTCTTGAGTTTTATAAAGTAACCCACACTGTGTAGGACCTAGGTGTATGTAGGCAACTGCTGAATAACTTGCTGTTTGGTGAACAGTTTATATATAGTTGTATAGTTTTCTGTATTTTCTTTTTCCTTTTAGTAAATAGTTACTATAGAGACTAGAGCAGTTTTAAATTGTCCAGCAGTTTAACAATTTTAATCATGAAATATAAACCTAACTGGTGTATGCCTAACTTATTTTCCCAAGGGCGGGTATGAGGTCCAGTGAAGGTGAGTGATGGAACATGAGGTGGCTTAGATGCACACTATTATTGCACTTTATCGCGTTGATAATGGAGCGCTAGCTATCACTTAGTTGTTGCAGACAGATATTGGTCCTTAATTTCGCTTAGTGAATGAGGTGAAGTCATGGTGACTTCAACCATCCAATCAAGGACAAATAAAATTAATGTATTTTTAAACTTGCATTTCACACGATTGGATATTCTATGAACAGCAAAATTTCACTATTCAGTAAGATAAAAGAAAATTAAGTTTTGAAAGTGGAAATGCTTTATTCCTTTGATGGCTTCCCGTCCAGCCCATGTAGATAAATGGCCGGACAGGAGCAGCATTGTGCAGGGTGTACTGGTATGTTACTGGTTCTGAATCAACCTCCTGTGCTTGGCTCCTAGAGTGTGCTCTGTCATGGCTGTGAATCACAGAGAGGGTACAGGGACAATTTCATTGGCCCTGTACCATGTGATCTCTTTGACCAATCACAGTTGTAAGTAAAGGCTGCATGCCTGCAGCCTTTCAAAGAGTTTCACAGCTGATGGCTGTGAAAGAAAACCGATTGCTTACTGTAGTGAATGTAGTGAGCGGTAGGTTGTCACTGCGGTGAAATTATTCTGCTCTGCTGTATGGTGGTCAGAGACACTGACTGGTGCACTGAAGACACTGCATGCCAGTTCAGCAGACAATGTTTCTGATCAATAGCTACATCAGTACAATGTCACCACAGTGACACTGAACTGTTCTGGTGACAGTATGTAAAACGAAAAAGAATGCTCTGATATCACTGTATGTCAGTGCTGTCAGCCAATGTCATATGATTTAAATCCAATGACAATCACATTGTTCAGGGTGTTGACAACCTGCCAACCCACCAATCTATTCCTGCTGCAACTCCCATCGCAAATTGCAGTTCCTCAGTGATGCTTGAAAGTACAGTGGGGCAAAAAAAGTATTTAGTCAGCCACCAATTGTGCAAGTTCTCCCACTTAAAAAGATGAGAGAGGCCTGTCATTGGCGTCATAGGTAGACCTCAACTATGAGAGACAAAATGAGAAAAACAAATCCAGACAATCACATTGGCTGATTTGGAAAGAATTTATTTGCAAATAATGGTGTACATATACATCCCGTACATCCTGTACATCCCGTACATCCCGTACATCCCTGTACACCCCGACATCCCGTACATCCCTGTACACTCCGTACATCCCGTACATCCCGTACATCCCATACATCCCATACATCCCATACACCCTGTACATCCCATACATCCCGTACATCCCTGTACATCCCGTACATCCAGTACGCCCCGTACATCCCGTACATCTCGTACACCCCCGTACATCCCGTACATCCCTGTACACCCCGTACATCCCTGTACATCCATTATACCCCATACATCCTGTACATCCCGTACACCCCTGTATATTCCATTTATCCCGTATATCCCTGCACACCCCGTACATCCCGTAAGGCAAGCAGATATTCTGACAGGTCTTCAGGAGACTGTCATGGCATCAGCAATCTACTGATCACTGGTGCAATGCTTGCCAGGCTCCCTTGGACAAAAATAATAAATGCACATTTTTTTTACCTTCAAAAAAATGTGCATTTATTATTTTTGTCCAAAAGGTGAACGTATCCTTTAAGTCTGGTGGCACTTATAATAAAATTTGGATTGAGACAAGCTGAAACCCAATAAAGGAAATGAGGACGCGCACGCAAAGGGTTGTGTTTGGGCAAAGAAGCAAAGGAATTGCTGATCAAACATGGTACAAACATTTCTGAAAATGAATTTTCCTATGTTATGTTGGATGTTGTTGTAATTATTATTATAGTAGTAGTATTAGTATTGATATTAGTATTACTAATGTATTCTAAAATACTGTTAACATTTAAAAAAAAAATGCTCATGTAACAGCTATGTGAAATGTTTTATTATTATCAAACATGGTGCATACATTTCTGAAAATGAATTTTCCTATGTTATGTTGGATTTGTTGTTATTATTATTAGTAGTATTAGTATTAATATTACTATTACTTAATTTATTCTAAAATACTGCTAACGTTTAAAAAAAATGCTCATGTAACAGCTATGTGAAATGTTTTATTATTATTGTTATTATTATTAATAGTATTAGTAGTAGTAGTATTATTATTAACAATAATAATAATAATAATTATTATTACTACTACTACTACTACTAAATACTAATAATAATACTGACTTTGTGAAATACTGTGGAATGTATAAAAATGCTTATGTGATCTCATATAGGATCTATTATTATAATTGCTAATAATAATATTGCCCACACATAATCCATAGCAGTTAGTTTCCATACTTCTACTGACATAAAACCAGTATCGGTCTATTCTGACATTCCGCTGTAAATCATGTACTTTTCTTGCTAATGAGGTATATAAGGAACATGGAATATGATCTGTATGATGAGCCTTGATGTTTTGACAACTGTCTCTGTATTATCACTAATGTGTTTCAATGTGATCATTTAATGACTTCTTTCATTGCGGTTCCATCACTAATCACATGGATCATATTACATATTAATTGATGTTACAAGTCTGCTAATTATCACAGAAAAGCTTCGGTCTCCCCTCTATAATTATATGCCGAGCCGACATTACCTAAGGGAACCTTGGACAGGGATGGATTTAGTAGCAGACGCAGCAGGCTCGGTTGCTTTGAATGGAAGCCAAAAAAAAAACAATGAGAAGAATTGAAACTCCATCTTACCGAGAAGGTAAAGCCATTGAAAAATACAAACTATGAATTGTAATGGAAGAGACACAAAAGTTCCTGAAGCATACATCCAGCTGCAGACAGACGGGATTGTAATGTAAATGATCGTTATAACATTTTGACGTTTTAATAATGATGTACATTTACAGTAGGTAGCCATATTCAGCCAAATGTTCATACGCTGATTATTACTGGCCGTGCAGTACAATGTCTGTGCTTTATTGATCCTCTAATCTCATACCTATAGACCACGTTCTGGATGACATATCCTCTAACTCATCTTTTTTAAGCAATTGCTCAGAAAAAATTGTTTACTGTCATGCAGAAAATTACTAATTAATTAAATTAAAGATAAAGCAACAATGCAATATATTACACAGCTTACTAATGTAATGGATGCATTTTTTTTAATGCTTTTTCCCTTTTATTTTCACTTGAGAATCCTGCAAGTAACATAATTACTGTATCTGTGAGGGAGCAGCACTGTCAGACAAGTTTTAGAACTACAAAAAACATCCCCTCCTCATTTTTATAACATATTGTGTGACGTGTTGTGTAAACCTCATGATAACTAGTGTAACGCCCTCCAGGTAGATGATTTTTTGTTTGTGAGTCAGAAGCTTGTTAGAAGCCTGGGATAAGTCAGCCTGGGAGTGAGTCAGCAAGGGTACTTCAGGGAC